AAGTTGCTTCTCTCCTTGATTGGTTTCCACCCATTGCTTCTTGTCCTACCCTCGGGTGCTTTGGATAATAGCTTGACTCCCTCTTCTTTGTGGCAACCCTTGAGATATTGGAAGACTGCAATCATGTCTCCCCCTGGGCCTTCTTTTCATTCAACTAGACATACCCAGTTCCTGCAACCGTTCTTCATATGTTTTAGCCTCCAGCCCCCTAATCACCTTTGTTGCTCCCTGTTCTATTTGCATCTGCATTAAGTCCCTGTTTACAACATATGCTCTGTGTACCATTAGGGAGAGGCTGTCTTCGCCCTCTTTCTCTCGCCGATCATAATCTGGGCTGATCTGCCTCTTAGTCCTCAGGAATGCACCTCTCTCCTTCCTTGGAGTCCACCTGCTCCACCACATTCCATCACAAATGTTCTTGGGTTTGGAACGGTGTGTGGTTCATCTTTCATGCTCAATCATTGCGCCAGGCTTGGGTTTGGCTTAAGTGAGGATAGGATCAAAAAGCGATTGTGCCAGGACAAAGCTAAATTAGATGCGGCGCAGTGGTTAGAGTGCAGCACTGCAGGCTACTTCTGCTGATCACCGGCTGCCAGCAGTTTGGCAGATCGAATCTCAGCAGCCTCAAGGTTGGCTCAGCCTTCCGTCCTTCCGAGGTGGGTTAAATGGGGACCCAGATTGTTGGGGGCGATATCAGCGGTGTAATGCTACCAGTTCGGACCGGTTTGCCCGAACCAGTAGTAAAAATGCTACCCGTTTGCCCGAACTGGTAGTAAAAACAATGCTTCCAACGATCAGCTGTGAAATACGATTTATATTAAATCTAAATTGCGTGGTACAGCGGATTCTCCCCCCCCTCCCCTCCCCGCTGTTCGATTACCTTTGCAGGCACGGCCACATTGCTACCGAACCGGTTTTTTCCACCCCTGGGCAATATGCTATCTCTGTAAACCGCTTACAGTGGGCTGTAAAAGCTCTATGAAGCGGTATTGCTATTTGCTAAGTATTATTGCTATTTAATTTTAAATAAGCGAAACCCACAGGCTTTTTGCATGAGTGTTCAATGATTTCCTGTTCTTTTTCCAGACACCTAAAAAACCCTCTGCTTGTTACTAGCATGTGGCAGAAGTAGCAATGCGGATAATCCTCATTTTAGCATCTTTTATGGCCATTTACAGCGTCCTGCAGTCATGCAACCACAATTTAGGATGTTTTTGCCAGAAACGGGGGTTTACTTCCTTTTTCCAGCAAAATCACCTTACAGCGGCAATGGTGAATATATGGCACCAGCTCAGCTCCACTGCGCATGCGTGCGTGCCTCCCGCCGGCCAACTGATTTTTGGGTCTCTGCGTGCATGCATGGGGGGCGGGGCGCATGCAAGAGACACGCGCACATGGGTGCAGGGTGGGGGTGGGTGGGAATGCACACCATGTTTGCTTAATGATCACAAAAGATAAAATCAGGTCTGGTTATACGTTTATACGATAACATAACAGCAGGGATCTTGGAGGTCCTCTAGTCCAACCCCCTGCTCAAGCAGGAAGTCCACGGCTTACAACAGTTCTTTTAGTGACTGTTGAAAGTTGGAACAGCACGGAAAAAGTGACTTACGACCGTTTTTTCATACAACCATTGCAGCATCCCCACGGTCGTATCAAAATTCAGATGTTTGGCCACTGGCTCATATTTATGACGGTTAGTGTGTCCCAGGGTCATGGGGTCCCTTTTGTGACCTTCTGATGAGCAAAGTCAATTAATAACCATGTTGCCAACTTAGCAAGGCAGTGACTCACTTAGCAGCAGCGGCAAAAAGGTTGTAAACTAAGGCAAAACCCACTTTAAAAATGTCTCATTTAGCAACATAAATTTTTCGTGACCCGTCAAAAGCGCGAACGTCATAAGCGCGCCGACAACACCGTGGCTCTAGAACCGCGTTTTCAAAAGTGCGCCGACAACAGCGCGCCGACAGAAGCGCGATTTCATTTAAGGTAAGATTTACAGTTAGGGTTAGGTTTAGGGTTAGGTTTAGGGTTAG